AACCGGTCTTTAAATCGAAAGCGGGGAAAAACCATTGTGATATTCGGAATCAGCACGTTCGATTACCCATTGTCAACTGAGTTTCAGCTCAAAAGCGAGGAGGCAGTTGGTGGCCTTCCCTCGTTAGTCGATCCTGATTATGGTATTTTTCCGAATATGGTATCCGAATATGGTTCCGAATACGGTATTTTTATTACATAGAACTTGAGTTCTGGTTGAGAAAATTAAGAACTAGTCAGTTTTTTGACTCCAAAAATAATTTAAAACTGATTTTTCAGACAAATAAGGCAAAAATTTTAAAAATTGGCTCGAACCATCGATAGAGCTCGACAAGTTCTATCGAATGATATATTGCATGATTTGCTTTCATTTGTTCTGACATTAGGAAAATTTACTTTGTCCACTGGAGTGCCACTAAGTAGTGCTAACCAGAACTAATTAGTAATTAAAAAACGGACAGAGATATCGTTTTTCAACTTTTTTTGTATGGAATTATATCTACAAACAATTCTCTATAAAACTACATTCCAGTCAATTGAATGTAAAATTTATACCGAAAACTAAAAAGGTTTTAAATTAACTCTCTAAATTGTTGCTTTTGACATATTGTTTATAAAATTATAACTTTTCCTTGTTAGAATTTTCCTTATCCGTTCTTCCTCTTTCTCTCTCTCTCTCTCTCTCTCTTGTCGGTAGTAAGAGAGGAAAAAGCCATAGATTTAACTCGCCAACCAATCATTTCTATCCAAGTTACCGCAGTTTATTTTGGTTTTACCATCCTCCACTATCCATTGCCAATAGTATGTGTACTGCAGACAGGAAAAAATAAATAAAATTTTTTTGATAAAAGGAAAATCAAAAAAAGGAAAAAGAAAAATAAGACGCGCATACCACGAAATCAATCATACGCATCAGTAAGCAAGCTAAGTATGGAAACGATGATATATATATTTGATTATCTCCATAGCAGAGAAGATCAACACTTGGTTGAAGACTTCAACAAAAGCAACACTAACCAAACATATAAGCAAATAATATGTCCAATTACGAATATTCATCTTTTCAATCGTCATCATCCGGTGGTGGTGGAGCTGGTGGATATGGAGGCTTCGATGTAACAAAAGCCATGTTTAACCAGGCCGATATTAACAGAGATGGGACAATCGACAGAAATGAATTTCAACAATGGGCCTCAGGTATGTTATTATTCATTACTTACCAAAGTTGAATTATCACTAGCAGACTTTTAATTTTTTTAAATAGGAGCTGCAGGAGTGGGCGGTTTCGGTGGATCGACTGGAGGATATGGATATGATTCTTCATCTAGCTTTGGAGTATCAAGTGGATTCGCTGATGGTTATAGTGGCAGCTCAGGATATGAAAGTTACGGAAGCGGTTCCCAGGGTCTTGAGGCTGGATTCGGAGGATCAAGCTACGATAGCAGCTTGTATTTATCGGATGACTATGCAGGTGGAGCTGATTTTTCGGGAGGCTACGGTGGATATAGTCAAGATTTCGGAGCAGATGGATATTCTGGTGAGTAGTCATGGTAGTATTCAAATTAGAATGTGCATATAATTTTCATTTATTTTTTAGGTTACGATTCAGCATCTGCTAACTATGTCAGCGATGGGTACGCAGCAGGAGGATATGGTGCTTCGTCATAACAACCTATTCAAATACAACACTTTATTTGAATTCGGTGCCCAACGTGTTCAAACTTTTAAAAATACGTTGATCACAGCGCCCCACTCGTGAACAAAAATTATCTATAGTATCATAAAATAGATGGATTGTACACATGACAGTTCATCATATTCATCTAGCGGTTATGGA